CTGTATGGTTGCTCGTGTTAACCAAGGCGCAAAGCTATCATCGGTTATCACCTTGTAGCCGGCATCCTTCCGTAAACATTGGAATATGATGTGAAGACCTGGTGGCATAAGCAACCAGAGAATAGAATGGCAAGCATCATCTGCGAATATGAGAACGAAACTTGCAAATAACATCGCACGACGGTTTGAAGAGGTCTTGTGATGACGGCTGACGTCTTAAGTAAGTGAAAGCTCTTTAAGAGCGGCTTACTCCGATCTTCCGCTAAATGCTGCGGTTTAAAACTAGGTGACCTGCCACCTGAAAGTCAAAAGCGAATTTTCTGGTTGACAGAAATTCAAACGGTTGCCAGCTTTTGTGTATCGCTGGAGGAGATGACTGGCAACTTTATAGTTCAATGTCAAGGTTTCTAAGCCAGTGAGTGGCCGCCGCGGTAGCATTCTGGACATCAATTATGCAGCCGTCGAACTTTCGCAGCGGGCATTCGGAAATAATGTGCTGTACGGTGTGATCTTCATGACTGCAGTCACTCCGCGGAATGGACTTCACCTTCCAGCGATGGAGTAGGCGTCCACAGCGTCCTTGTCCTGTTCGAATCCTATTTAATCTCGACCATTCTTGGCGATTCAAATCCATGCCAGGGGGATCTGTGGTCGGGTTAGACATTAGGTCTTTATTACGAACAGCTATAGCGTCCAACTCTGCCCACCACCGTTCCTCGAGACTCAGATACGGTGTCGTTGCTCGTCTCCATGGTGGGTGGCTGTTGGAGAACACGATGGTTGGTTAACTGATGATTCTTATCAATGTTCTGGAAAATGTGATACGCCTGCTCGCCCCTCTGGAGGTGAGGGGGTTTAGTATACCCTAGAATCGGTAACGGCTTTGTTTGAGTTGGCTTCAGGGTTCATGTTGCTATTCGCATCGCTTCATTGAGCTACGTGTCTAATTTGCTCATGTGGCAGCTGTGGCACCAAGCAGGGGAACAGTAATCAGTGATAAAATGCAAAAGCGCGAGGGCTGTGGTACGCAGCATGCGGACACTTGCTCTCCAAGAAGTGCCGGCAAGTTTTTGTAACAAGTCTGTTCTCTTCTTGATCGTCTGCTGTATCTTTTCCAGGTGTAGCTTGAATGACAGGGTTCGATTAAGAGTGACTCCCAGAAATGTTGGCGTCATTTCGTGCTGCACGTGTTGACCACTAAACACAACTCTGAGTTTCTCCTTGACCAGGCGATTATCCAGATGGAAAGCCGTCGCGCAAATCTTCGTTGGGTTCGGGCGTAGCTTCCTCTGGTCAATATTCTGCGTCATAACGGCTAGGTCAGACGTGAGTATGCAGCTACCACCTGTGAGTCGGTGTGTTCGGTTGCTAGCGCTATATCATCGGCATAAATGAACTTCTTCGACGCTGTTGGTGGGAAGTCGCTGGTATAGATGTTAAACAACGTTGGGCAAAGTACTGCACCTTGTGGGAGTCCGTTATTAAAGAGTCTTTCCTTACTCACCCGCCCATCAGCATGGACCTGGTTCCGACGGTCGCTAATCATGATTGCAATAATGCGAAGAGTCTTCTCGCACTTGATTATTCTAGAAACTTCGCAGGTGAGACCGTCAGGCCAGACCATATCATAAGCCAGTAATAGGTCGATCACAACCACCCATGTTATTTGTTTCCGTTGGCATCCTACATCAACAACGGCGTCCAGATCGAAAGCCAGCTTGTTCCACTGGGAGGACGACTTTAATTACAGGAGAAAGCCGCATGAAAGAAGTTCGCTCCGTCAGTTTCCTGGTCGTGCACAGTAAAGAGATGGGGCTGTAATTGTCTGGCTTCTCTGGAGATTTTCTTGGTTTTAGGAGGGTGATGATTTTGGCGCGTCGCCAGACGAGCGGAATTTTTCCGGTTGTCTGGATTGCCGTGAAACGAGAGGCCAGCCACTGTCGGCCCTTTAGACCCAAGTTCTTAAAAAATCCTGGGAAAATTTTGTCAACACCAGTAGCATTCTTGATCTTCGTGGTCAAAAGTACCACGTTTATTTCCTCTATAGTATATTGGGTAGATAGTGGGCTTGTTTCAGGGCAGCTGTTAAGGTTAAGAAAATATTCTTTCTGCACTATCGTGGGACGGTGTTTTAGACGTATGGAGGAGGTGAGCAGCCATAACATCAGCGGAGACTTTCGCTACTCAATGCTTTGTGGGTTCAACTGCGCCAAGGTGGCGGATCAGTGCCCATGCTTTGCCACTGGAATGTGTGAAACCCAGTGTTTCCAGTCTTCCACCATTGTCTCTGCCACTCTGAATTCAAGGATTATACGAGAACAGCTGCGGTTTCAGGCGATCCTCGGCGTTTGTGCTCCATGTAAAATTCCTTTGTTTCCTTTGATCATGGGGTGTAGGTCTTCCGGTATCCACGAAGGTTGTCGCAGCAGAGATCAGTATTCGACCAAAAGTGCCAAA